ATCCCTTTAAAAATTAAAACCCAACATTTGAAACATCAATTTGAATACTTTTCGAAGTGAATTTGAAAAAGTCATGAATTAAACTCAACTTTATTTTGTTGAAACTTGCATTTGCTGTAATAACCCAAATTGAGAAACATTCCCCATTAGAGGAAACATTAAATTCTGATAAATTCGCATTATACCAATCTGAGATTTTGAAGATACCTTAGCAGAAGGTATTAAAGAAATCTGTATGCAACCTGTATTCATGAATTCTTAAAAACGAATGAGATTGAAAAAACATTCTTCCGCAGCAGTCAAGCAGCAAAAATACTCACCTTACTAAACTTGACACCATTCCTCAACTTGTTGCATTTCTCGCAGCTGTACATGTTGTCTCCTTTGAGTTCGTCAGTGCTAAAGAACGCAGCAAGGCAGTCGTGCAACGTGACAGTCGGCCCGTAGAACCACGACTTGAACCAGGCGAGTATCCACGATATCCAGCCGTCCTGTGTCTGGATGAGGGCGTCGCTACACGCGGCCTCCTGTCCCCCACTCGACCTACCGTGTAGCAGAACGAGGTGATCCTTCGAAGGGATCGGCAGCGACAGATCCTGGAACGTCTCGACGCGACTCGACACCCTGTTACACGTTAGGCATTGGACGGATGAGAGGAGCTTGCCGTCGAATATGTCCGAGATGATGGAGCGGTGCTTGACCTGTTTTTTGGCGGGGTGCTGCTGGCTGGATGAGGTCGTTGTCGGTTGGGAGTCTGAAAGAGAATTTTTTTGTTTGAGAATTGGGTCCATACAAAATTAAAATACAAACTTCGTGCATTTAGAGGCACAATATACAATTTACATAGATAATATGACGAATAATAGTCAAAACCTAAAATAATCTGCTATTTATGCTACAGCATCGTTATTAAAATCGGCCTAAAATGTTGGACATGTACATACTATATAAAAGTCAAAACCAAAAATAATCTGTTATTTATGTAACAGCATGGTTATTAAAATCTTCCTGAAATGTTACACATGTACAGGGTCATAAGTTATCATACATATATTGTTTGAGAGAATAATAAGATTTATCCAGGAGCAACTCTTTGATTTGTTAGTTATACTGTTTTAGATCCAGATTTTTTATTGTACTTGGGAAATTTATTGTACAATTTAATGGTCATAAGCCTTGGACATGATTCCGATACAACTAATCTGTGTTGGCACTTCCAACTGTAGGGAATTTCTAGTATTATAATTCTAATTACGATTAAGAGTAGGAAAACTGGTTGTGTGCGATTTCACATATTTCAATATCTCATAAATGTATATATTTGTAACAGTCAATATTCTGAGATTTTGTACTTGTCATTCCAGTAACTCCTGCTATATACCTTGAGGTTCTTTTTTAAATTTTGAGTATTCTGGAACAATCACTAGATGCTCCCCAAGCTAAAATACCATAGGAAATGTTACAATGAAAGTATGCATGGCAGTACATTAATAAGAGTGATCTATTTAAATTCCAGCGTAGTTGTTGAATACAATAAGCTATTGAGGATATCTTTTTACAAATCGTATCAATATGCTTGCTCCATTCGAGATTTTCTGTTATCTTCAAACCCAAAAATGTTGTCTCCTCCTGTTGTTGAATTGATCCATTAATTGACGTTACTAGTAAACTGTGATCTGGAGTGGTTCTTGAATGACTAAAACGTAAAAGCACAGTTTTTATTTCATTCAACAAGAAACTATTGTCTGAGAACCACTTTTGGGTGCTTTTTATTTCATCAGATGCTTTATTAACTGTGGCTGAGTTACCAATAAAGGTGTGTCATCAGCATAAATAACGAACTGATCACTATAATAATCATTTACATACATTATATANATATTCTTTCGGAAGGAAAGTTTTCGAGAAAGAACATAACACATAAAATGAAACATCATACAAATTGTAAGTTAAAGTTCAAATATTGTCTAGATACAAGGGTAGTCCCAGAAGTATCCATCCTGACCTAGAGATGGCAGTAGTTGTTTGAAAAATATCACTAAATTAGAAAGTATACAATCTATAATGCATATGTCTCAAGTTTGAAGACGCTGCGTTGCTTAGTATTTGTCTGGCAGCCATCAATAGCAAAAGTTTTTGGTGAATTTGTAAAAATGGTCATTGTTATGTGGTAACTTTTATTTGAAAGGTCTCGACCCAACCAATATAAAAGCCATAATAAAACCAACTTGTGAAAATAACCCCAAGATCTTATCTCTTACTCAAGGATGCTACAGCCCGAGGCAACATTTTTGGTTGGTTTTACCTATATTGGTGTTTTACACATATTCTAACTCCTAAATATAGTGGAAAATTGATTTAGTAATAGTAGGAAAAGAAATAACACAAATAAGTAGTGATTGATAGGAAAGTAGTACACAACCAGCTTTCCACTAGAAACTCGCCTGGCCAACTTTCCGAAGGGAATACGCCAAAATAAAGAAAAGAAGAAGAATAATAGAAAAAATTCTAACCAATAACGCACGAGCTCTGCACCCTCGGCCTCTGCTTGCGATTCGGACTGCCGCATCTGCTCAACCTCCGTTTGGCCCCGCTCGCCGGCCTCTCAGTGTCATCGCTAAGACTCGATCTTTCGCTCACCCCAGAATCGCAGGTTTCATATTCTCCTTCACTGGAATCATAGTTGGAATTGAACGCTGTCGGTTCCTCCATGGCTAGGCTGAAGGTGTCGGCGTCGATGGTAGAACATGGCTCCGGCGGTGCTACCTGTTTCAGCTCTTCATGCAGCTGATCCATGAAGTTGCGTAGAAACTCCTGCGTGTCATGTTGTTGGAAGCCACGAAACATGACATGAACGTTGCGGATGCCTTGCAGGATACCTAAAAATACATCACAAAAATTATTCTATCCTACCGACTGCGCCCATTTTCCAAATACAGTAAAACCAGGCGAGGACAAAGATATGGATCACATAATTTTCTCGGTATTTCAAGTACATTGTGCATTATTTTAAATAAATATTCTTTATTAATTTATTTAGCTTTTTCATAAAAATTTCAAATATAAAATCACTTCAAATGAGAGTTTTTAAATCAACATATTACCATTACTAATGTTATACCTGTTGAAAATATGGTGTAAGTTGCGTTAAATATTGTTGCAACAAACATGATGTTTGTGATTTCTTTAAAATTGCAATTGTTCAATGGAATTTTGTAAGATATTGACAATAGATTGAGATGGAAGTTTGAGAAGATTTTTTTTTCATCAAGATATCCCTGATCAATGCAAATAGGCTACAAATATTATCTTATCCTACCGATTGAGCCAATTTCCGCCTATAGTATAAAATAGTCGAGAACCACGATATACACTTACCTGACAGTGGCACATAGCCCCGACCGACTTTCTTCACGAAACATCCATTATTAGCGCGAATATTCCACAAAAAATATCGCATCCTACCTACTGCGCCGATTTACGTCTAGAGTAAAACAAATAAGGACATGGATAAGAACTTACCTGACGGCGTCACGTATCCCTGGTTGACTTTCTTCACCCAGATATCCCTCATCAGAGCTTGATAAGTCCTGCTCAAGCCCGGTTTCTTTCCTTCCGTCAGCATGTGAACTGTGTATGCGCATTCTAGGAAGAACTTCGTCAGCGGTTCAGTATTGCTGAGAGCCTGTAAGGCTGCGTTCATGTAGCAAGTGTTGCCGATGTTCTGCAGCCCGACGAGGCCACAAGGTTTCTCCTGGTGGTAGCTGTGGTAGTCTTCTCCGTCACTGGAGTCGGAAGCGTCGCCGCTCATGCCGACGTTCAGCCCGACAGTAGGTTCGAAAGAATGACCTGTGAACATATAGGAAAAAATAAAACATAATTAATATGTTTACAAAGTTTCTCTGGTACTTCCAAATTTTTCAGTTTTATTTTATTTCCAGTCATCTGCGGTGAACGCTACTTTGGTAAGCAAAATGAACAGTGTTTTTGTTTTGGTCAAGAAAAACTGTTTTCAATAGATTTATGCCAAAAATCTACTTTCTGATCTGACTAAACAAATTTAAAAATCATACTAAACTTGATAACACTCAGATTGATCCACACAAATGAAAACAAAACTAACCTCTCTCTGGCGTGTTGGTTCGTAGAGTACTGTAACTCCCATGGCCAGAATCTCTAGACCTTGCGGTACAGCTTTCCGTTTCTTGATCGCTATCATTATAAGGTGCCGACTCCATGAAGACTTCTCTCTTGCACTCGTGACACCATATTCTTCTAGTCGACAAGTTCATGTGGACACAATGCATAGGGTAGTTCTGAAACAGTAAATATGTAGCAATCCTATAGAAGTACAAGTAAGAAACACTTGTCACACTTTTGTCTCGTATACGGCACTAATAATATAACTCATGGATATACACATCGTTTGTGTTAACATAAAGATTCCTTTAAAACATGTGATTATCAACGAACAGCACATATTTAGTGAAGGTGAATCTACCAACACCAACCTACTGTTGTACACCCAGTATATTTGAATGCTCTGGAAAATAAACAATAAATGGACGTACTTTTCGCCGATTTTTCAAAAGCATTTGATATAGTGAACCATAAAGTTCTTTGTGAAAAATTAAAGGCAATGGGGAATGTTCCTCCTGACGAAAATCAAATAGTTTTCATAAAAGAGCTCTAAAACAACACATTTTAAACTTATCATTTCAACCTTTTTCTTTAAAAAATGATTTAAATACTTAAAAAAGAGGAATGAAATAATGCATTCAACATTTAAAGGGATTCGTTTCTATTTCACCATTTGGCAACATCGGTTATAGCTAATAAAGGACAATGAATCTGTTACCTGTATGAGACAAACAAAGATGACATATTTCAGAGGCATGCTGTTCTGTTTATTTATGTTCCGAGACATTCTGTGACATTATGACATTTTGTGCACCTAACCTATCTTCCTCTATATAAATAAATAACAAAACGCTGTTGTTTATGTGGCTTGTGGAGGTGGTATTGAACTATAATTTATATTTTGCCTCAATTGTTGATTTATGTAAAGATAATTTTCCTTTTTTTAAAGTAGAATATCTAGGTACGTAGAAATTATTTCAACTTGATATAGGCGCTGTTGCCAATATGTGAATTAGAAACAAATCCCTTTAAAAAATAAAACCCAACATTTGAAACATCAATTTGAATACTTTTCGAGGTGAATTTGAAAAACTCATGAATTGAACTCAACTTTATTTTGTTCAAACTACCATTTGCTGTAATAACCCAAATTGAGGAACATTCCCCATTGGCTTTTTTGGGAGTTTGCTGAACTGGTTCTCAAGTTATCTTTGTGATAGATCACAGTTTGTGAAAATTAAAGGATTTATCTCTCACGAGATATGTTACCTCAGGAGTACCTCAAGGATGTCACTTGGGACCTTTTGTCTTTAATATCTTTGTAAATGATATCAAAGAAAAAAATACACACTGTAAAATAATGATGTTTACAGACAATCTAAATTTTTTTTAGAGCAATAGACTCGTTGAAGGATTGTGCGAAAATTCAAATGGACCTTAAATCTTTTTCTGATTGGTGTAAGATGAATTATATGTATGTCATTGTGGAAAAATGTAAAAGTATTTCCTTTTCAAAGTCATTAAACCTTCATAAAGCTGGTTATAGTATTGCAGGAAAGAAGTTGTACAATCTATTGGAGATCTGGGTGTTAGTATGGACGACAAGATGAACTTTCATTTACAGTATGAACACATATCTAACAAAGTGATGAAAATGTTAGGATTCATATGCAGATCAACAAAAGATTTTACCAACATTTTTTCCATTAAAATACTATACTTTGCATTGGTTAGATCAGTGATTGAGTATTGCACTTGTATCTGGTCTCCAACTTAGAAAGTTCAGAATAAAGTTCTTAGATATGTTGCCTACAAAATGAACATGCCAGTTAGAAGTAATTTGCTTTTTGAAATTCACTCTACTATTGGATTGCTCAAAGTCAGTGCAAGATGGGCATACACAGACATAATATTTCTACATAAATTGTTGAACAACATAATTAATTACGTAACTCTTCTCTATCAAGTCAATCTGCATGTTCCACCGAGCAGGACACGAAACAACCAAAATTTCAGCCTAGACTTGCATAGATGTAATTATGGAAAACATTCTCCTTTGTCCAGAATTCCATCAAATGTCAATGAGACCAATATTGATTTTTTTCACATCTCTCAGAGCACTCTTAGATATACTCTACGTGGTATAGATTTATAAGACTACTTTTTATCACAATTTTCAACCCAACTGTCATAAGTGTCTTAGTGGTATTTTTAGATTATTTCTTTAAAATTTTTACATACTTCAAGAAATGTATTTTATATTTTTACTTTTAAATTTATAAATGAATTTGTCAATAGGATATATTATCTTTCGACACTAAGGTATATATATTTTTTTTAAGGACAGAACACAAGCTCTACAGGAAAATCCTTGAGGCGCTTAAGCAGATTGATTGTTTTTTTTTTTCTTCTGGTTTTCTCAAACTTACCACATTGTGTGTGGTGCTATGGTCGCTAGATTTCTCCCCACAACCGATCCTAAGGCAGTTTTTGTATAGACATATCCACAGATTAGGTCCACGACAGTTGCAATCAGAACAAATCAACTGAAATAAATAAAACTAGATCAAGAGAATTGTCAGACAACTGTAACTAAGGAAGACATTGCAGAAATAATAGAAGGTCTAGATAACAGAAAAAAATTATTGAGAAAAATATTAATGTGAGATAGTTAATTACTTACAATCAATCGAATTTTTATACAGTTCTCTATAACAGAATTGGCGGCTTTTGACGTGACTTACAAATTTGGGTATCTCTTGATTCAAGAAGGCATTTGATACGCTTAATTTCAAAATTTGAATTCAATTTCCAATAATACAGAAATCGAAGAGAGGATGCATGATTGGTTTCAAAATCATTTAAAAAATAGGAAACAATTTGTGAATATTGTAGAAGAATCAGGTATAAGTGATTGTATATATATGTACGTAATATATCAATGAAAGTTCATGGTACATGGTGAGATTTCCACTAAACAGTTTTACAAAAACGCAACACGTGTTTTGCCATATAATGGTTTCTTCGGGCGTCTCTTTACTCACGTGTAAGGGACAACACAAAAAATTTGGTTCATAATATTATATACAATGTAGTTATTTTAAACTAATGGCTGATTCATACAACAAACTTTAACTGTTACTTCATCTTTTACTCCAATAATGAGAATTAAAAATGATTTTTATTCATAAAATCATTAGCCTATTTTCGTACATTCAATACTTTTATTAATCAAGTTTATTTCTGTGATAGTCCTATGTTATAATTTTAAAATTTAAATTTAATAACACTGATGTACCTGTTGAACCAAATGTTAACATGGGTGTATGATGTGGATTATATATGTATAAAATAGCAATAATCCAGTACATATTTGTACATAAGGGATTCCTATTTGATCAATTAATATTATTTTATTTTTCTTGATGATAATTTCAAACCTTTACTTCATTTCCAATACGTGCTACTACAACAGTAGTTTTATCAGTTGAATTGGAACTTTACAGTAATTTACAATGCAATTTTTATGAATTACCAACTTTAATAAATAGATATTACTAATTGATGAACAGGCAGTTTTTGAGAATAAGTACGCAACAGGTACAGATCAGATAAAAATTACTGTTATTAATGATTCGACTGATTTTGGGAAATTTCTCATGAAAATAAATTCAAGAGTCGTGAGAGATCAACTTCTTGTTAGTCGTCCAACAGGAAATTTCATTGTTCACATTAATATCCAGGGATTCCCGCAGGTTTAATTTTTGTTCTTTATTTTCTGTATGCAGTACATTATAGTTTATGTTGAAGTTGTGGTTGTTCTCTAACAGATGGTATGCATAGGTTTCATTAGTTTTCTTCAATTCAAAATTTCTTCAGTGTTTGGAGATTAGTGTTTTGAAATTTCCAAATGTTTTTCCAATAAACACCTACCAGTGTTATTACATACGGCGCTACTTTAATGAAAATGATAATAACTCTCCTTATCGTTTCTAAAATATGTAACAAATAATTAAATGAGATAAAAAATAGGTAACATATAAACAATAGGTGAAGTTCCGCTTCAATTGTGAAAGATAATCCATTTCCAAGCTGTTGTATATAGTGCTTGTTATTATTATCTAGCTGTTTCACACTTACCTCTTTAGAAGCCAGTAAAGTAGATATAGGAATGTTTTCTGCTGATGCTAAATGGGAACACCCAGCCATTGTTCTGTAAATAGAAAAACACATATCAGTTCCTTGTTGAAAAAGTGATTCTTTAAAACAATTACCAGCTTTGAACTTTGTCTCAAGAAAAATCTTATGAAGGAGATATCTTCCTAGTTTATAGAAGTAGACAGTTTAAACATTGTTTTGAATTTAATGAATGAAGAACAGATTGTAAATTGAGAATAATGTGAAGTACTTCTGATTTTGTCAAATAGTTGTCAAGTTGCAAATCATCTGCTGAGTGTAATGCAGGTTATGTCAACTTCAACCTACAAACTAGTCATGAGAATTGATAAAAATCATTAGACTTCTCAATTATTTAAAGAGTAAGGTTATTGACGTGATTGTCGACATTGTTGAAATTCTTGGAATTTGGGAGTCAAACAAATACCTTACCTCTATTTAAAGTTACTCGAAACGGAATTAGTTTTCAATTATTGTGATGTTTCATAATAGGCTAGAGTGTTTGGAGAAAAATCATAATCATTTCTTGAATCTTATCTATATAATTCATAATTATTCACAAACTTGACGTTAACAAAATTTCAATGTTTTTCTGTCATGTGTCAACTCTCTCTCTCTCTAAATTAATGGACGTTGCTTCCCACTCAGGCGCATTTGTCCAGGCTCCTCCTATCAAATGGACGATTCCAGTACCCGTATTCAGTGTTGCCACTATACAATTTTCGGGTCTGAATCGACTGACATTTTCTAGGCCTTTTTTTGGAATAATTCAAAGTCGGAATAGATATAATTTGTAATTTTATAGATTCCTGGATGTTCCCGGATATTTGAATCGAAGTATTGAAGTCGATATGAACAAAAATAAAAATTCCTAGGGAATTTTAATTTTCAGGTTGTTCAATTGTTCGAAACCTGTCACCTATATATGTTTACCTGTTGTCACAAACATAGCATTTCAGTGTTCAGTTTGTTTTTGCCGAGTAGTTACGTTTTGATAGTGTATTCTGTAGGTGTTGTATGATNCAACAGTATGATCCACAGACTTATAAATGTACCCTTGTCAGAGCCGAATTTCAATAAAGAACTGAATATAATAAAGCAAATAGCCGTCAACAATGATTACGATAGCGGTCTAATACATTCATCATTATCAAAAAAGTTATATACTCAAGCTTTGAAAGAAATTTACCCAATTCGAAGAAAAAAGGATAAAAGTTATAGAACCTTAACCTACTTAGGCCAACCCACTACAAATATTTCAGATTTTCTGCACAACAAAGGTGTAAATATTGATTTCAAAACCAACAACAACTCAGGCATGTACATTAAGAATAACAAAGATAAAAGTTCAGTTTCAGAAAAATCGGGAGTGTATAAATTATCGTGTGGTCATGTCCAATGTTTTATATAGGTCAAACTGAAAGAACGTTCAAAGCCCACATCAAGGAACACAAAATAGTTTCCAGAATAGAAAAATAAATTCCACATATGCCACTCATTTAATCACAGAGGAACATGAGTTCAACCATGAATTCAAGCCCCTTCATTTACAGAAAAAAGGTTTGAAACTGTATTAACTATTGCAATACTCTATAGATTTGGGTACATTTCCAATCCATCCACCAAATGTATGGATATCTATATACGCGTGGATTACATGTTTTTTAAATTATTCAAATTATTATTCGAAGATGACCTGATTCAAATATAAACAATTATTTTTTGACCCCTATGGAGATTAATCTTTGCACTAAGAAACATGTTTGAACTATTAATGAGGTTATCAAATATAGGAAATCCTGTAATATATAACAAGTTCGTAAACTCATTTTGCAGTACTCACAATTTCGTCTTAGTTGAAAAGTATGGTGGCTAAAATACTCGTAAGTGTTTTTTTTAACAACTGTGTTATTCACTATTGTCATTCTACTGTCATTCTACTGCTCCAAAATTCAAATAATCATCAATTTGTTGCCGTTTGACAAATGTTTGAACGAATTTTTGTCATTTTATAGTTTTTTGGCTCAACTATTTTGAGTACTCTTAGATGCTATAAAAAAGTACCTACAAACATTCTATGAAAATAATATATTCTATTTTTAAGTTGTGATTAAATTATATACATTGTGACCTATTACACATTTAGATTCAGCAGAACACAAATTTCAAATTATTATTCGTTTGGTCTCCGCTATTAGGGACATTAATGAGGACAGAACACAAGCTCTACAGAAAAATCCTTGAAACGAACTATTATTCAAATTCACGTTGAATTTGAATCGCTGGAGATTGAATTCATTTGGAGAAACGTTCTCAGAAAGTTTATTCTACATAAACAAAGTTCTCCAAATGCAATAATTCCCAAACAGTGAAGNAACATCTGGTTTCAACATGATGGTGCTCCACCGCACACTACCAGACGAGTATCTAATTACATGCCTGAGAGATAAATTGATAGGGAATAATAGGCCGGTGAGGTAGCCAGCAAGGTCTCCAGACTTAAGTGTTATGGATACATTCTTATGGGGTACACTGAAAAATAGAGTTTATGGTCAGAGGGAATATCAAAATATTGAGGACCTTCAACATAGCATAGTTAGAGAGTGCGGAAGATTGAGGCGGAGTGCAGTGAATAATATTCGAACAAGGGCACAGTTTTGTTATCATGAATAAGGCCAGCAATTTGATCATTTGCTGTGATTTACTTTTGTCTTTACATTTTAGTTAATTATTGTTATTTGTTGAGAAACCTATTTTATGCATCTATAATTATGTTGCAGGGAAAAAGTGGCAATGTGGAAGCGCAATTTATTTTCGAATCCTTCGAAAAATAAAGCCAGAGAAAAATAAAAACTATTTTTCGAAATTTCTGTCTTTTCCGGATATCTCCGGATGTACTCGGAATTTCAGAACTTTCTCAACGGCATATTGTTAGTCAGGTAAATGCGCAACTTTGCCTCAATTTAACCATCTTCGTATTTGCCACGATTTTTTTTGTAACATTGGACAGTTCTACTGAATTTTTACCCCCGTAAATTGATACGTTTCTGTCGAAATAAAGCCAGGGCGTGAAATTTCTGCTTTTGACAGGACAATAATTGCTGTTTTGCATGGTGCTGGACACTACAATTACCCTGTAATGGAGGAATAATAACGTTTTGGGGGGCATCATGTTCCATCGCTGAACGCCATTCATTCCTACATACGTGACAACATGACAAGTCGAGTTTATATTGAAAATGTCATCAGGCTCATTGTTTATTCATTACGAAACGAATCAGGTGAGAATTTCATTTTCACGGATGATAACACCCGGCCACATCGAACAAGAATGGTTCGAAAGGTGCTGGAACAAGGGCAAGTTACCCGGCAAGAAAGGCCACCTAACTTACCGGATTAGAACCCTATCAAAACCATGTGTGATTTTTTTTCAAGAGCAGTTCAAAATATAAAAAGTACTGAAAGGAAAATTGAATATGGAGTACCACAAGGAACGGTTTTAGGTCCAGTACTATTCTGTATATATGTGAACCAATTATTTTCTATAGGATCTTCAGGTGAAATAACTAGTTTTGCAGATGACACTGCGGTTTTCTACTCTGGGGAAACCTGGCTTGAGGTCAAAGAACAAGCAGAAAAAGACCTGGAAATGATTAAAGATTGGTTTGATTACAAACAACTTTCCTTAAATTTCAACAAGACATTTTAATAAAAAAAAATTGCTACTATATTTATGAACTGGTTCTTCACACCCGAAAAAGTTATGAATTTATTTATTTATATATTTATTCAACGGCAAAAAAAAAAAAAAAAAAAAAATTACTCATCGTTACGCTCTCGCAAGATAATTTCCAACTTGTAAGAAATTTTATTTACAGCTCCCATATGATCTATTTCATCCTTACACGTGTCCAATTGTTTTGTGATCCGAATGATTTTTTTTATACATGTGATTCATTTTATATATAAAAGTCTCGGATGTTCTTATGATTGTTATAATGGTTATTTTAATATATTTTATTTATACCACATATGATTAATTTTATATCTACTTACACGTCTACAAAGTTTTTGAATGTTCTGTATATATTTATTTCACCCTTTTGTTAACCTTATACTCATTATTAATTTTAGTATCGGAAGTTATAAAAATTTATTTACACTACGCACAAGCAACACCTGTTGCTTCTGTGGGTTTCCCAATGTTTATTTGCAAAATGTATAGCCTTATTATGGTTGCTGTTTTTCTTTTGTGTAAATAAACGATGATGAGTTCACAACTATATTCACCCACTCCAAAATGCAGAAGAGTTTATTGCAGCAGCAGTAGAGGAATGGAACAATATTACTCAAGAAAAGATCAAATGATTTAATTGTTTCAATTTCGTTGAGAAACAGAGGTCAGTAGTTACACTGACTACTGACTGATGTTTAGTTAGGACGAACAAATGTTTTGTGAGTGCATGATATAAATTAATTTACCTAAAAATCATAATTTTTTTCTTATGTTGTCTTTGCTTTCGTTTAAACTTTTTGAAAGTGTAGTTTCGCGAAAAAATATAATACAAATACATCAAATTTCTTATTTTCTTTCCAAATAAAATAAATTACAAAATAACTGTCGGGTCCAAGACTCTTGATGTTGTGTGTATCAATAAAATTGGATGTCGTTTTACTTTTATGGCACTGACATTTTCCAGAAAAAAACGGAAAAACATCTTTCCGAATTTTCGAATCGACTCAATTTTCAACGGTGTTCGAAACAATTGACTTTTCAATCTCTCTTCAGATCGATATCCCATGTTTTTGAAAAGATAGAGCACGAATAATTAAATTAAATTGCCTACGAAACAATTTTGACCTCTCCAATTGGTTTGTTTTCCATAATTTTGGCGCTGCTGTAAGTTGATTTGGTTGCTCAGCTTTGGGGCCGACACCTTCTGTAGTTTGCTCTATAATTCTATAATCCCTCCCAAGGAAGTCTACAAATTGTAATTCTTTCCAGATCGTCACTCTGGCTGTCTGCCTATCCTGCGCTCTAGGCACCCCCTATGGATATGGAGAAGACAGAGGAGGCTATGGAAGAGGGGGCGGAGGCCACGGAGGAGGTGGTGATTTTGGAGGTGGCTCAGGAGGAAGGTTAGGACAAGGAGGTTCATCGGGAGGTGGATTCGGACCCGGAGGAAGTTCTACTGGACATGGTTCAGGAGGAGGCTTTGGGGCTGGACAAGGGGGAGGAGGTGGCTTTGGAGGAGGCTTTGGTCCTGGCTCAGGAGGTAGCGGAGGTCACAGGCATGGCTCAGGAGTAGGTTGTGGTCCTGGATTATGTGGTAGCGGAGGACATGGTGGTGGATATCCAGAAGGCAGTTTTGGTGTAGGACCAGGGAGCAGTGGAGGGCATGGCGCTTTTGGAGGTCCTGGTGGCGATATAGGATTTGGAGGAGGATCAAGGGGCGGCGGCTACGGAGGTGGTACTGGTGGAGGCCCGGGAGGGGGTTATGGAGGGCACGCAACTGGATATAGAAAACATGGTTACTGATTTTTGTTTATGTTTTTTGATCTATTTTTGCAATAATAATACGGCTAGTACATACAATATGGCTTGAGTCTAAATATGTTTCACATTGTTATATGTAGGGGAAATAGGTTTGCTAAAAAACTGGTATTTATCATGTTGATATCATGTCAATATAATCTTCATGTTGATCTAATCATTCAGTGATAATATCTGACCAAATATCTTACAATCATGTGCATAGAGATGGATTTTAGAGTTTATATCCAAATAATATCATTGAAAATTATAAATAACAGAAAACTCAGTACAGAACCTTGTGGAATACCAGTGGTATTGCACGATTGTTATCGATGAGGTATGACTCTAAATCTTCAGTTAGAAGAAAAGGTCCCTGTCAAAGTGCTGAGTCTAGGTCGACCAAATGCGAATGGTGAGGCTAGACCCATTTAAGCTGTCCTTTCTAGCCCTCTCCTAGCCATAATATTGTTCTTTAAAAATGAGGTTGAAGCTCTAAGCTTTAAAGTATGATGCGACAGAACGAAACTACAACAATTTCGATTGAAACATTCCCTGGATAAATTAAAGAACCACTCAGCCAAAGGTGAAACAGACTTGTCTATGTAAATGGGTGGTAAACTATAATACAAAAAGCTTCAAAATATTTCAAAAAAAATTACTGTATATTATCACAATGTCGGGGTAGTGCGAACAAAGATTTTGGAATCAATGCAATCTGTTCATAGTTGTGATTTCGATATAACCATTCTCGTTGAAACCTGGTTGAATTATGACTTTTCAAATTCAGAACTTGATTGGAGCACCTAATTATGTCATTTTCCGCTTTGGGCGGTGGTGTATTAATTGCTGTAAAATCTTATATTCGATTATAAAAATCCTTTATGGGTTTGATGGAAACATGTTTAGAGATCAATAATTTTGATAAATAGGAGAACACATTTGAAATATTTGATCCAGAAAATACTTTTTAGTCAATCATTAAAAATATTATTCAGAAATTCGTCTACTTGTTGCGAAATTCGCCCAACTTAATGTAGAACCGAGAAGAATCTGTTTAAAATCTGGTTTTCCGTTAATCAGCTGTCGCCCCCATACGAACGACAACTCTCAGAAGTTGGGAAACTTGTGCGAGCTGAGGACTAACGAGGTCTTACCTTTTAACGTGTGATTCCTAACACGGATTGGACGNGTATTTTGAAGATTATTATACCAAAAACCAACTACTTGAAGTTTTACAGGCAAAAACATTTGAAAAAGTGTATGCACTTGAGAGTATTGCTGAAAAGTATGGACACACCATACTGAGACTTCCCCCTATTTTTTTGTTTTCTATCCCATCGAGATGATTTGGGGAAAATAGAAACAAAGCATCAGGCGTGAAAATAATTTTCCAAAATTTGATAAGAAGGTAATAGAGCTAATTAAAGAAGAAGTATCTAATATTATCGAAGAAGACTGGCAGAAAAAGATTGAAAAAGTAATTTTAGTTGAAAAAAAATTATATGGAGATTGGACACTTTCATATTATTGGTGGAAATCAATTCATTATTAGTTTAAATGAAGACAGTGATGTAAACCAGAGAATATGGAAGAGGAATTATCAGAAACTTTCGAAAAAAGTTAGTGGAGTGGGTGAGTAAGGAATAGAAGTGGAAGATAGCCTTTGGTTAACCCTTTTCCTTTTATGTATAAATGTATTTTTTATGCATAATAAACGATATTATTATTATTATTATTATTATGTTCGGAATCAGTTTGATGACTTTCAGTAATCGAATGGTTATTCACAATTTCCAAAATGGAACAGGTTAGAACGTGACAAGAAATAATAAATCGATGACGCAAAACTTGTTTATAATGCATAAGTTAGTTTGTTTTCTCTCTCATATCTCTGTTAATTATTCGAGTTTTATTTATTTACATTGACCTAAAGCCATGCAATATCACTGTATATGATTTCTCGGTAACTAAAAATCCCCTTATTTTGTTCGAATATGTAGGGTATATATTTGAGAAACAATGACATGTGGGACCATAAGTTTTTATCCCAGCAGTCCGCAACTATCTAATAAAAGCCAAGATGAAATTTGTGGTAAGTTTGAAAGTTTTATTTGAATTCAAAAATGTTAATTTCCTTGCTGATTGTATAAGATAAATACATTTGTTTTGAGTTTTGAAAGAGCTGGAGTTCAATAGAAAAAAGATAATGATGACCAGAAAAAAGAGCTTATATTCACAATTCAACATGAAAATAATAATTTGAAGAATACTAAGAATGCAAATACTCAAAGTTCCATTATGAATAATTCTTTTCTCTCTCTCTCTATATACAGGCAGTTCAATTATCATAGTAGCATATGACATGTAATAGATATTAGGTTGTTTCAAGAAGTTTGTCAGTTTTTATGAGTCTTCTTTGAACTGTAATATCTCATTGAATACTGATTTAAGTCAATCGAAATAAGCACCATTGGAATCAGTGCCCTTTTGTCAACATAACACAAGTCGAATAATTCCGTCAGCATAAAAATTTTGTGCTCAGGATTCGACGAAGGCCGTTTCTGTTTAGTCCTGATTGGCGAAGGCTCTACCAGTGATAAAGTTATCGAACTGCTTGGAAAAGATGGTAGTTTTCGTTATTTTGTGAGATAACATCAGCAATAGTTCCAAAAATATTTCACTGCTTGTTCTATTTCCTAAGTTTACAATCGTAGTCAGCCATAAGTGAAACGGCTATCAATAACTGTAGAGTTTTCCCACTGGATATTCACCTTTTCATTTTAAATAACTTCTTTTATACTGTCAACAAAATAATTATCAGAAGTATCTGTGTTTTTTTTTGTATCATTATGATTTCGTATCTCTTGTGTTAGTGGGAGTGCAGCTTCAACTACCGACCACAAGAATCTAGACTCGTTGGTATTGGCAAGCAGTTTTTCCCCAATTCTCTGATTGCGAAGTTCTATGCTGTCATACATTCTGTTTGTAGCTGTTGAGACAATCATACGAGGGGGTTACAACATCAAAGTTTTTTGTATGTAATCAATGAGATATTCTGAATTTGAAGCGATTTTGAGGATTTCATGTGCATTTGGTTCAATTACTTGTACATTGAAAGAACTTTTCAACCTATTTACTGTTTTACTATCATTATTTTTATGCGGAATTAAGAATAACGTCTCAACTACTACACATTCTTCAACGTCAGTAATAATATCTTGGAGTTAACTGATGAAAATGGCGTCACTTGAACTAGGCGAATGATAAAGACAATCCATAGTTAGGGATGAACCACCGTAGAAAGCATTAATTGATACCAACCAAGATTTACTCTCCAGAATGCCTTTTTTTTTTGGAAAATAAATGTCACATCGTACATGTATTGATACACCTCCTGTATGTCTGGAACTGAAGTCATATTTTATTGTCTGATCACAACACAACAAAAAATATTTTTTGAATGTTTCCTACACTAAATTAGTCAATTTCTACTAATTCTGGGGTGATAAAAACGAAAATAACAATGAAAAATTTTTATTAGCTCTGGTTTTTGAGATACACAGTACTTAATCTTAAAGAGTAGTTATACTATACGTGAAAAG